TACTATCTCATTGTCATGCGCAGAACAAGGAGATCGTCTCAAGATACAGCCTAAGTTTCTAATATTTTGGATTTAGAACTAATACTAAGAAGGCTTTCTTTTCGGATATTCAAATCAAAAATCTAAATTTGATCCCGGTTACGTTTTTTCGTATAGGTCGGTAGATTTTCTGTCGGACTCTTAAAGTCTTACGAAGAATTCGGAAGTGTTATGAACTACTGAAGTCCGCGGTTTCCCCACCTCACACCTTCATCCCGCCATTGAAAGCATCTGAGAGTCGGAAACAGAGGAAGTAAAATAAATTTTTCATTTTCTCTCTCTAATTTTTCATCTCTATTGTGTTGAAAATAAAGATTAGAATTTTCGAAACGTCGACTTTATTTTTATAAAGAAAGATTTTAAATTCTTAAATTTTTATGAAATAAGTATGAACCTAAGACTGATTTATCAATTCTAAAACTTCTAACTCTAAATAGGTATAATGTTTTAAAACCAACTCGTATTCGTGTAATATAACAAAATTGAAATGGCGATCATCATTAACGTGCAACCGCAACCAAATATACAGGAAATTTCTCCAGAACATGTAATAGTACGACTTGTTGATCCTTCCTCAGGTAGTGAAAGAAAACCCAAAGCGAAGAAAAGTGGTTTTGTTAGGATTTCCAGCGCAAAACGACTCCAACGTGAAGATAGAAAATTGAGAAGAGATTTTAAGTTTTGGATGCCAATATCTTCGCAAATAAACGGGGAAGGCAATGAGGAACTGCTGCAGACGGGAACAGCATCTTTCGAATTCGACGATGTTACTAAATGCCTTCAGCATGTTGAGTCATGTGGGAACAAACGTGTCATTCTCTTACTATCTCATTGTCATGCGCAGAACAAGGAGACCGTCTCAAGATTTAAAAGGTTTCCTCAGGTCATTTTGCAATAAATTAAGTTCAAAAATTACGTTTCATAAGATTTTCAACGGATAGCAACAAACTATCTGACGATGTAAATTGAGAATCAACAATTACTGTTGTATCTCCGAACGACGTTTCAACAACTTGCGGAAGCGCTGGTGTGCCGAGAGTCAATGCTTACTTCGGGATATTCTGCCAAGAAGTTTGATTGGAGCTCAAATAAAAGATATAGACGACGCTAGTCAACTTCTACTTATGCAAATTTTTCTCATGGAAGTCATACTAAATCTTCCAAGAGCAGATGAAGCAAAAGTAGAATTTATTGCCTATTGTTGCTCTATCTACAAAGATCCGCTCTATCTACAAAAAATTGAAGACTTTGAAGAAAACTATGATGAGAAGGACGCTATCAATTGGTATACGAGAGACAATAGCTTCATCTTCCGCATTGTTAGTAAAACATGCGCTTCCCTAGATTTTGTGGCTTTGTTCAAAATTCGTTTTATCCTTCGCGATCTATATGTGCAATTGCAAAAACTTCATGAAGAACAACTAGAAACATTGTTAAAGAGAGACTTAGTGGTCTATCGAGGCAGAGTGATTTCGAAAGACGAATTGAGCTGTTTGAAAACCATAGGAGAACTATTTGTTACAAGAAACTTCTTGTCCACTACAACGGACAAGGACGTCGCAGTTTTTTTCTCTGGTGAGTGTGCACAAAATAAGGATGAGGTATCTGTCCTCGTTTCCATGCAAATTGATCACACAGAAATGCAAGACAAGCCGATAGCATTTATTAATGAAGTTAGTCAAATACGAGACGAAAGTGAAGTTATGCTTCCGATGGGCATTGTGTTTCGCACTGCGTCATATGAAGAAGTCAACGACAATTCGAAACACTCGGTGAAAATTAAAATGGTTCGTGGTAAAGATGAGAAACAAATCGAGAAAGATCTTAGTCGCTTTCATCTTTTGGAACAAACGGGTGTTAGCTGTTTGACTTTGGGTTTGGCCATTGTTTTGAAATCCACACGCAATTGTCAACACGTTGGACAATATTATTGCAACGCCATGTCTGATGCTCTCAAATCGTCAGATACTCAACTCGCTGAACAGCTCTCGGCTTTGTCTAACAGTAATGTTCAACCTGTGTTGGTAAGTTTATGAATTTGTCCCCATTGGTTGGAGAAGCCTGCTTAGAATAGTTAAACTGACGTGAAAAAAAGTATCTTATCTCGATCATTGAAGCAAATCAGAGATTCTTTCCGGACAATTTGTATAAATTTTGTTTCCATTTACTACTATGTTTCTCAAAAAGATTTCCACTATTAGAATTAAAAGATAACTGATATTCAATCTTTTCTTCGTCGGGAAATTATCTCAGCTCTTTTAATAGTTTCTCGACAGTCTATAGATGCGATTTCTCAATCCTTGGACACGCTGTGTATGTATGCTAATAGAATTCTGACTACGACAGTAAGAAAGTTAATCACAATACAAATCCATCTCTAAACTTTTGGTTTTTTAAATGAACTAGGAGCACTCTGAGCTCCTATTCTGTGAAGGGCTACAAACATCTAACTCTCTATATTTGTCTAGTGCTGTTCTTTTCTCTATTATTGCTGTCTTATATCACAAAGCGAGCAGAGATAAAGTGTAGCACGAGACAGATTTGTGAAATCTGATGTATACTTAGTCTTGATACTAAGGGATCAATGAGAATTTGAAGACATACCCACATCCAAACACAAATATATCTCACATGTATCAAACGAAAAGGCCCGATTCGACTTCTCGGTTTCTTTAGTCCTTAAAAGACTTAACAAGTCGTATCTATAATTCAGACGCCGAACAATGTTGTGGAACCATCAACAAATAATTTGCTCAACGGACCAGTGGAACAGGTAAGAAACTGTTACAGGGTTTAACCAAAACTTTTAACTCAAAACTATATTCAAAGACAAATACAACACCGCAATCAGCTGCTGGTGTGGCGATTGCGAAACATATTACTCTTATTACCAAAGCAACTGTCGTTTTTCAACAACCACGTACGCGCTTAATCCTTATATTCGTTGGCGTTTTTATCATGATGACTGCCGTTGTGATACCTCTCGCTGTCATCCTTTCACCCAGTAAGTCCCTTGAGCTTCATATTGTCTCTTCTGCTGAATGTAAAAAAACGATGGTAAACGGGACAATGTTTCTTTTCGTTTAGAAGTCACTAAAAAGTATCAGCCAGGGGCTTTGATTTATACTATATTCGGCATTTTTCTGATAACTCTCCTCTTTCTTTTCTGTAGAAAGGAAAATAATTTTTGACAGTCACTTTTCAAGCTGAAAAACTTGATCTCATTTTGTCCATTTTCGACCACCAAATGTCCACAATAAAAACATTGCGGACTTATAAATCAGATGCAACTTTCTCTCCAGTAAACCAGATATTCCATTTGACTTCTTGCATTTTCTATACTCACGTTGAACTTTCTTTTAGAAACAAGTTCAACAGCGACAGATTGCCATACAACCTGTTCGGCTGTCCCCTCTGTTCAAAATCCGTCGCTGAATTATCAAGTAGAACATCTCAATTTCAGTTGTTCTCAGTCTCTTTCTAATCTGACCATTACTCAAGTTGTACAGCGTATGTATAATGAAACTCATGCTCAGCAATACCAAACCTTCTGGAATTATTCAACCAATATGACATATGTTCAAACTTCAACACAAATAATCTACACCTGGTTCTCGTTACCGGGCATGATCATTGCTAAAGAGAGTTTTCCTAACTTTATCGAAGCTCAGTTTTTCTATACAACCGGTTCGGCACGTGTCACAAGTAGTGACACATGGCAGGTGTCACTTCAATCTACCTGCGGAGATCAACTGTATCTTTCTGGAACCTTTTAATCAGTCGATGACACGCGAAAGACTGTTTGCATGAGTTAAGCGAACGTAATCTCTTTGTGTTCTATATACCTTCTACTGCTGATGCTTTTTTCTAAAAAAATCTTTCGAATGTGATACACACTGATAATTATGGACTGTATCACCAACTACGATTCACTATCCTTGCTCTATATTTTTCTCTTTCTGTTATCGTTATAGTCTTTTGCCATCTTCTATAGATACACGTGAAAATTGAAAGGGCAAAATAACTTCAATAATCTAGATAAGAAAAGGTATACAATCATTCCAAAACAGAGGAGGAAACGCTAAGATCAAAGAGCACATGTGAACATAAAAATAAAAGTAAACTAAACAATGAATAAAAGTAGAATACAGGACTAATAATCCACAATACTCAGGAGCTGCCATCATCCTTGAGATAGACGAAGACCGTGAATAGAAATTTGAAAAAAATATAGATTAGCTAGAAGACACATTTACATAATCCTGACTGTCTACTGCTTGTAGACCGAATTTACTTCCACAAATCTATCATGACTATAGAAAGAAAATGAAGTTCGAAAATTAATAATATGTGAGATGAGAATGAAGGGCACGACTTGTTGCTCGT